ACATGCACAACATACATTTACACAGACATATACATACAAGTAAAAATAAAATGAATCTTTAAAAAAAGTTTATGCATAGGTTTGCAGCTGGGAAGTCCATGTAGCATTCTACAGGCCCTGTTGGGAACAGGAAGGTGTTGACAGGTGCATTATGTCATGGCTGGAGTACACAGACCCCTGGACAGGCTCATGGAGCTTTACTCCCTCTGCTTACAAAGCTACTAGGATTCAGTCATGGGAGCTCCCACCCTAATGACCTAATCCATTGCAATCACTACCTCTAACACCACACCTAAATTAGTTTTCTATCTTTATATATTATCGACGTAAGACTTTGGGGATTGAATTCCTCTGTGAACTCTTGGGACAAACCATATTCAAAAATGTACTAGCAGCCATCTTCTTCCCTTGACCCTGGCCTGCCCACAGGTCACCCACCCTGCACATCCCTCCATGATCTCAGCGCTGGTGTCCTGTATCCATGCTGGCCCAGCAGCCATTGATTCGCCTGGAGCAGCTCCAGGGATCTTTTAAAATGTCGAGCAGATTTTGTCGTTTCCCTTTAAAAGCTTCCAAAGGATTCCCTCCCTTTTCCAGGTCTGGGATGCCAGCTTCCCAAGTCACCTTACACAAAGTGTGTGTTTTCTGTGTGCCCCTGTTCATTCCCCCCCACAAGGGGTTTGAACCTGATGATCACATCATGGGTTTACTTGTGTATCGTCTGTCCCGCATTAACTCTGAGCTCCAGGAGTACAGAGCTGGTGTTTCTCATGTGCTCCTAGCTCTCTCCCATGCAAGATGCCCTCCCACTTTGCTGAGTGAATGAATAAGCATAATTTGCATCTATTAGGAGATAGTTTGTCTTCACGTATCAAACTTTCATAATGCCGCAGTGAGGTGGTTGCATTGAACTGCCTCTCCCCAGCTCCCCTTGCAATTAGCTGTCATAGTCAATGCACATAGACACAAGAAAAAGAGGCTATCTCCAGCTGACTCACAAAAACCCTGGGTGATAGTTTAAATGTAATGTATTTTGTTTTGAGATAGAATATAGACCAGGCTGGCCTGGAACTCACAATCCACCTGCCTCAGCCTCCTGAATGCTGGGCTTGCAGGCATGAGCCACACATGGGGATTCTGAGGTTCTGAGCGATGCCATCCCAAGATGGGAAGAGCCGGGGTCAGTGAAAGAATGCTTGGAGCAGGGCCCCTCTCACTAGACTCCGTTCCGTGGACATCAACTGTAAAGAATGTCGTTGTTGTAAGTTCCAGGCTCATGGGCACAGCAGCTGCCTCACCCTAATTAACACATTGAAACAGCATGAGCAGGTGGTTGGTAACACTGTCCCTGACATGTGGCACAGTGTGCATCAACCTACAGCAGAATCCAGTGGCAGGGTGCTCACACCCTCATTATAGCCCACAGAGATTCATGTTCACATGGCCGCCATTTGTGCCCACAAGGCAGTGAGCCCCATCAGGGAAGTGTCTGTATCCCTTCCATCTCTGCGGCTTCAGTATCCAGTCCCTGGAGGCTTTGGGAAGTTTCTTCAACCTATAAATGAATGAGCAGGTTGCCTATACCCCTTACAGCCTCTCTGTTCCTAATTTGCCTGAGAAGAGACCCAAAGAGAACTCAGGGTCAACATGAAAGAGGACCGTGGCTGACTCAGACTGGCCCACAGCTTTTAAAGATGGCAGCTGGATGTTGTAGAGAAACACCAGAGAAAGCCTAGGAGAGGTGGTGAGGGCTTTTGGTGCACCATGCACTCTCTAAATCCAAGGTGACCTCACCCCGTCTTGCTGCCCTCCCAGCCGGCTCTGCTGGCTCCCGCAGCCTGGCTGTCCACATCACTCAGTATTTTTAGCTTCACCACCTGGCACCTGTGGTCACCATCTCTGCCCAGCCTGGCAGTGTCCCTCCCCTAGGCCTTAAAGAGCCAGAGTGTCAGTTAGAAAGTATATCAGCCCCTATAATCCTAGGCCATTATATCCCAGAACAGGAGACCGAGGGACCTCTTCTACACAGGAATCCCCAAAGCTGCAGGTGGGGTGGAGGGAAGATGAGGGAGAGAGGGGCAGAAGATCCTAACCCTAGTGCTGGAGCCTCATTCTGGGGCTTCCTGAGTCACTCGCCAGTCGGGATCGATTAATATTAGCATTGCTCCAAGACCTGAAGCTGGGGGACATCAAGGCAGGGCTTGGCAGTATGTGTTGTTGATAGTCAGCTCAGGGCTGAGAATTAACCTAGCATGTGCAAGGCCCTGGTTCCATCCCCACCGAGAGATAGCGAGAGAGATAGAGACAGAGTCACAGGGAGAGAGAGACAGGAAAGAAAGACAGAGGGACTATGATAGCAAAGGATGCCAAGGACCAACTGTTACTCAGTCTTCAGCAAGCACTCACTCCAACCTTCACTATGAAAACGATGTGGCCGCACTGAGGCTGTGGAGTTAAGTACAGTGTCTCCCGCTTCACTGAGTCTCCTAACCTGCCTGTTTGGCTTCCAGCCCTCCCATGGCTGCTCTGGTGCCTACAGATCAAGTATTCAACTCACAAGTCCAGGCCTACGTGATGTGATACTACTGTCTTTGCCCTCCTCACCTTACAACTCTCCCCACCCCGATCCTCAGGGGAACCCTGGCTCCAGCCAAGTACATTACCCAAGCTGTGACCCGGGCTCTGGAAGTGAATGGACAAGCTGGCAGGGTCCCCCTCATCCCTGGACAGTTACTTTTCCAAACCACCAGCCTTCACCCTTGCCATCGCACAGCCCACCGATACCTTTTCTTGGGCCTCCCCCATTCCCTGGGAGGCATCCGTACATCTAGATAGACATGGAGTACGCTGTGGCCCCTGTGAGCAGAGGTGGTCCATCTTGCATCTCGACTCCACGGGCACTGTGTACCCACTCCCACCAATGTGCCCTCAATCTGTGCCCAACCTATCTGCTAGCAGACCTCACCAGGGCTGTGCCAGGATTCCAGGTCCCAGTTGAAGCCTGGCGCTCAGCAGGTGTCCAGTCATCTTGCATGGTCAGCTAGCCACCAGGCAGGAAGCATCCTCCCATTACACAGATGAGAACACAGAGGCCCCCAGCAGGGAAATCATAGGCTTGGGGTCCAACATAGTCATGAGGGGCACCTGGCCTAGGATGTGGGAGTCCACATTCTCTCCTCCTGTTCTTTATTGGGCATGGAAGAGACCCTAGTGTGGCCCTGTGTCTGCCTTTCCCACGGTGGTACTGACCCAGGCAGGTTGGGCTGGAGCAGAGGTGACCCTGCCAGCTTGTCCATTCACTTCCAGAGCCCGGGTCACAGCTTGGGTAATGTACTTGGCTGGAGCCAGGGTTTCCCTGAGGGTCAGGGTGGGGACAGTTGTAAGGATCTGAACTCCACCTGGTGCCATGCACTCTCATCACAAAGATATTCTCCCACCTGCTCCCACGAACCTGTGTACACAATCCCACACACTCGCTCACAAATACACAATCATAGCTACAGAAACCATCTTCTCTCTCCCTCTATCCCTCCCTCTTTTACACAGGTATGAGTGCTCACACATGCGCACATGCACACATATATATTTTCACTTATTGATTCAACAAAGACCGGGCACCTGTTAAATGCCAGGGCAATGCCAGGGGGACGAGGGGCTCTTGGATTAGAGTGAGCCTGTGGCTTCTGGAAGGCCTTCCTGGAAGAAGAGGCATTTCAGCTGGGCCTAGGTGGAGGAAGCCAGCCTATCCCTGGTAACATAGCGGAACAGAGTGAGATGGGGTATTAACCCCAATCACACAGGTCTTGAACGCCAAGTGCTGACTTTCTGTTGGAGGAGCTGGAGGACCATGGAGGCCTCTAAGCAGGGACAAGACAGGACCACAATGGGCATGAAGGGACAGGCAAGTCAATCTAGGACCAGAGTAGGAGGAATGGGGAGAAGGTTGTGATGATAGCCAGTGAGCTCAGCAGGACAGTGGAGGGGTGGTAAGAGTGGGCAGATAGGTCCCATAGGCATCGTCGCCAGGCCTCTAAGCTCCCAGCGGAGGGCTGCACCATGGTCTTGCCAGCCCGCTGCCCACCCCAGGACTGACCTCTGCAGTGGAACCTCTTCCAGTTCCTCCTCCTCTCTGTGGAAGCAGACCAAGCAGAAAGCTGGCACATCGTCAGCTCCACAGCCCAGGGGCCAGGCAGGAGGCAGGCGCAGGACGGGGCAGGGGTGACCGTTGGTGGTCTCCGCAGCAGCATCCCCAGCCAGGGCACGGTTCTCTGAGCCAGTGTGCTCCAGGGTCAGCAGCCTGTCGGCCTCAGGACCCCGGGCCTGCCTACCTGCCACCTGCGCCTTCTCACTCAGGTTACCCGTCGCCTCGGTAGGTGGAAGAGCCTGTGGCTCTCTTGGAGCTCCCGTCTTGAGGCCCAGGGGTTCCAACCACGGGATCCACACCTGAGCAGCAGCTAGCAGCTGCCTGGACTCAAGAGGTGACCGGTAGTAGACAGAGGTCCTATCAGTTGCCTCTGGAGGAGCCCTCAGCACCTCAGCGGTCCACTCGGCTGATGTCTGCTAAAGGCAGGACTGTGAGGACAGGCCCACAGAGGACTCTTCTGTCTGTGTGTCTGCCCAGCTGTTCGCTCTTCCTACTTGACCAGCAGGCACGGAGGTGAGTGACAAAGTTTGTTCTCCTCTGCTGGAGTGAGTGGTACAGTGGCCTCCAGGAGAGCCGAGTGACACTTTGAAGCTGGAGGGTTGGTGAGGGTCAGGTGAGGCTGGCACAGTGTCTACACTGTCCCCAGGAAAAGTTCTGACCCTTGGAGTCAGGTGCTGGTTGGCCAAACTGGAGGCTGCTCTGCTCCCTGCTCCCTCTCCACAGCTCTGGGGCTCAGCTCTGTGGTGGCTCTAGATGGCTGGGCTGTGGGTATTAATAGCTCCACATTCACGCTGAGAAGCCTGGAAGTTAACTCCTTCTCTGCCAGAGCTGGGAGGCTGCCGCTGGCCACAGTGAGGGAAGCAAGGACCACGCCTCTGCTGGGAGCCTGGTGCGGCAGCAGACACTCGGCAATACCGCGCAGTCCCTGGGCTTGGTCAGATTTCCTGTGCCACCTGGACCCTCCGTGCATAGGTAGGGAGCATCTGGGGTGGGGGACTCAGAGCTCTGAGCTCCAGGGGGCATCCCCAGGGGCCCCCAGTTCACACCTCCACAGTCAACTAACCAAGTCCCTGCACATTCCCGGAAATCACCATCACTGACTCTGGGTCTAATTGCATGGCTACTCTGAATGCGAGCCAGAGATGAGGCAGACATTGCTTAGTAGTAAGGTCAGCTTGGGGATACCAGAGTGGATCTTGTCTGCCTGTTTCCTAATCATCATCATGTATCTATCAAGCAAGCACTCGGCGGGATGCGGAGGGCACAGTCATGAAGAAGCAGAGGCTCCTCCTCCTTTGGTGGGCTTGTACCCCACAGGAGGCTGAAGGGGCCACAGCTGATCTATATAGTGCCAATGAATTAGGAAGGGTGCTCCCTTCCAGCAACCCCAAAACACCTGCCTTCAGTGGGGACCTGGGCTGGTTTTCAGCTCCCCTCACCTGTGCAGAAATTGACAACACATAACAACCATTCCCAGTGGTCCTGGGAGCAGAGGAAACAAAGGATAAAGAAATTCAGGCTGTGGAAAGGGCAGCGGATTGAGCAAAGGATGTGAGATGGGGCTGAGGGGCAGGCAGGTAGTTAGAAAGGCTGTTTTGAGAAAGAACGCCCAACAAGGTGACATCAGAGTAGCAACCTGCAGGAGAGGGAGGTACCAACCAGAAGATCCAGAGGGAGAACCTCCCAGCTCAAACACAGGAACTAGCTGGCACTTGAAGAGGAGGGTGAGAGGCAGGGAATGTCTTTAAGCTGGCTTTTTGGATGAAGTAGAGCTTTCCCAGGGGCTCAAGAGGTGGGTCGAGACTAGCAGACAGCGAGTCTGATGGGGTGTTACAGAGCCTTACAAAATGGCAAGAGATAAACGTGGTCAGAGGTCTAGGAAGTGTTTGCTCTGAGCCACGCTGCTCAGCATAGGGGGATGAAGAGGGAGGCTGGGTGGGGAAGACGAAGTGGGAACTTGGCTTGAAGCTGGGGACCTGGGGAGTTTGGAAGTGGAAGAGTTAGAAGCCTGGAACTGAATTTGGACAGGTCTGGACTTCTTTGGCCAAGAAAGGGTGGGGCCTGGCTCCTGAGCAGTGCCCAAGGATGTGCTGGCAGATAGCAGCTTGGGGCAGGGATCCAGCTCTGCCCAAGTCTCGCATGTGTGCAGGGGACTTGGTCTTTTTCTAAATGGTACATCCATTAGAAAGGAAGGCTTTCTCTTGTTGATTAACTTGAAGGATGGTTTATCCTAATCAACCCCCCTCCTCTTCCCTCTCTCTTCTTTCCTTTTCTTTCTGACACTTCACTGTGTAGCCCAGGCTGGCCTTGAACTCACCATTCACCTGAATAGACTTCCCTCATGTTGAGATCCACATCTGCCTCTGGGGTGTCTTTCTGGGTTGTCTGCGTTGAGGGCCTGCTTCCGTATGCCCTTCTGGACGGGGCACCTTCTCTGAACTGACCTACCCAAACAGGATACTTCTTTCTGCTTGCTCGAGATTGAGCTGGGGAGAAGATTGGCGGGCCCCGGGGCCTCACATTAAGCTCTGCTGCAGATTCACTCTGTGTTTTTAGATTTCTGTCTCGATCTAGAACCGCAGACTGACAGAAAAACTAAAGGCTAGCTGCACTGCATCGCAGAGGAGAATGTGTTCAGAAAGGAGTAGCATCTCCCTTAAGGTTGGGACACTCGGGGCTTCCGTTCCCTGTTCAAGGGTCAACCTTGGGTCTCTGGATGTGCAGAGCTGACAAGGTGTCCCTCCAAAAGGAGGACTTGGAATGGGAAGGGACAAGAGACAGGGTGGAGGGGGAGAGGTAGCCCGTGCTACAGTCCCTGAGGTGAGAGTCAGAGGGGTCAGATTGGCCTCTGGATGTCCCTTCCCCCTCCCCAGGCCCCGTGGGGTTGTCATTTGCAGATGTTAATTATTCACGAGGCTGTGCTTTGCCTGGTTTTAATGCACTCTGATGGCGTTCTTTAGCTAATGGGGAAAATCGATAGGTTTTAATTCTTAGTGGCTGTGAAGCTCTGTCTGTCTCCTGTTTGGGTGACTGAGCCTGGATCTTGGGTTAGGGGCAGGGTGTGGACTCAGACTCAGGGACAAGAATCTAAGCCTTCACCTTCCCTCTCCTACACCCTGTTGCCTTCTGCCTCCAGTCTGTGGAGAGAGGGTTTGTGGTCACATGGCTTTCCAAACTGCCCCCGAACTCCATGGAAAGGCTGAGCTCTATATCTCAGCCACTTGTCATCCTCCAAGATGCGTGGTAGCCATGCTAGTCTTTGGACTAGACCTATGGAATCGATCCGATGGGGCAGTGCCTCTCCTCCAGCTTTGGGGGCTGGTGTCGTGCCCACAGCTCTTGACCTTGGAGTCTGGGGACCTAATGGGAGTGTAGCTTCCTCTTCTCCCCATTCAGGGTCAGCTCTGGTCTACCTTCTGGAACATGGGGAAGCTGGTCTGAGCCATATTCCTGGAGAGCTATAAACACAGGCCTCCAGTGTTGTCTTTGTGGGCAGTTACACATACACAGGACTGACAACCATCGTGGCAGGACCGAGAGCCAGGACATTCAGCAGCCATCGTTATGAGCACATCCCATTCCCAACCGCATCCTGTCCCTGAGTAGATACCCTTCATGATTCCTGTAATTATCTGAAGAGCAGAGTCACCAATGCACTGTGTGTGTGTGTGTGTGTGTGTGTGTGTGTGTGTGTGTGTGTGTATACTTGCTAATTAGATAAGTGTAAGCCTTTCAGATACATGGTGGTCTTGATAATACTGTTCTTTTAAAAAGTTGGTGTTTCCAAAACACAACAACCTCCGAAGGTAAGAGGTTTCAACAGGGCAGCTGGGAGATGAGGGGATGGGGTGGGGAGTGTTCTGCCTGCTTTCCCAAGGCCCTGCCTCTCCTGATGGCCCGGAGTCCACCCCTGCCGGTTGAAAGGACTCTGGCCAACTAAAAAGGGGGCCTGAGCCAGGTGCTGTGGCCTTCATGACCTGGACTTGAAGAGTGATGATGGCCAGGCCTCATTTAGGATATCAAATATTCCCCTAAAAGCTCGTGTGTTGAAGACATGGTTCCCAGTCCAGTAGTGTCCAGGGGTCGGGCTCCCGGGAAGCGGCTGAATTAGAAGGCTCTGTCTTCATCAAGGGATGAAGCGGCATTGTCGGAGGTGGTGGGAATAGGAGGTGGGGCTTGGCTGCAGGAGGTGGGTCACCTGGGGTGTGTTTTGGAAAGCCCTGGTCTGTGGCCCCTCCCTGTCTCCCTACATGTTTCCTGCCCTCCTGGAGGTACATAGCTATGCTCTGCCATGCCTTCTACCATGGTGCTCTGCCTCACACAACCAGAAACAAGAGAGCCAACTGACCACAGGATGAAGCCTCTGAAACCATCAGCGCGTAGTGAGCCCTTCTTCCCCAGCTAGTGAGTTGGCCCAGCTGGTCAAGGCACTGGCCGTATGACAGACAGTCCAGCCTGACAACCTTTGTTCAATCCCCAGAACCCGTGTACCTGTGGACAGGAGAGAACTGACTCCACAAAGTTGTCCTCTGACCTCTACATGCATGCATGTTCTCTCTCTCTCTCTCTCTCTCTCTCTCTCTCTCTCTCTCCTCTCTCTCTCTCTCTCTCACACACACACACACACACACACACACACACACACACAAATAATAATAACAACAATACATTAAAAAATTTAAGCCGGGCGGTTGGTGGTGGCGCACGCCTTTAATCCCAGCACTCGGGAGGCAGAGACAGGCGGATCTCCATGAGTTCGAGGCCAGCCTGGGCTACCAAGTGAGTTCCAGGAAAGGCGCAAAGCTACACAGAGAAACCCTGTCTCGAAAAACCAAAAAAAAAAAAAAAAAAAAAAAAAAATTTAAAGAATGCTTTTTATTATTTTATTTTCTAATTTAAAAATTATTATATATGTGGGTGTCTGATCTTTTTCAGGCAGTTAAAAGGTATCTGAATATGGGTGCTGGAAACTGAGCTCAGGTCCTCTGCAAGAGCAAGAAGGGCTTTTAACTGCCTGAACATCTTCCAACTCCAAGAATAACTTTTAGTTAATTAATACTTTGAGGACAGGGGTAACTTGGTAACTCTGGCTAGTGTGAAACGCATGACAATTCTCCTGCTTCAAGGCCCCGACTTCTAATCAACCCCCAACCCAGTGGTGGTAATACAGTTGTAGAGGAGCACCATGGACTTTTAACTGCTGAGCCATCTCTCCAGCCCCAAAACAGTGTTTTTAAATCTCTGTTCCCTTATGTTATTTTCTGGTCAGGCATTATGTGACAACGACAAAACCCTAACATACTTCCTCTACCCACCTGGTCCCATGCTGGCCTCTGCCCTGTCACCACTTAGGACCCAGCAGATGCCAGGCTCAATCCCAGTTTGAACATAAGCTTTTGGGACACAGGCTGCATGCTGGACAGACTTGCTGGGGTCCTCTCCCAGACTCCTCACACACACACACCCCGTTCTCTTTGACTCTCATGTGCAGAAGGCTGAGTGACCCTTTATTCACAGCCACCCTGTTGTTTGTGATCCATGTAAGACCCCTCCCTAGTTTTAATCCATATTTAGATTCCCTATCCCACCCCCCCATGGATACTGGGCAGGAAAAAGCCACTGAAGCTCCAATTCCTATCTGTGGGATCACTGATAAAATCACATTAGCCAAAGTATGGTAAATGCTTAGGTTGCTGTAAGCATACAACTGACCCAATACAAATCCCATTCCTCTCCCCTCCTCCAAGGACCTTGGAGGGCTCAGAGAAAACACCTTTCTGTTCAGTGCACTTGAGCTGATACTTTTTCAGAGATGCTCACTAAAACCCAAGTGAGCCTTTGGGATAGAACCTACCTAGCTCATAGTTGGAAGAGAGGCAAATACTATTGCAACTAGCTCTTTCTGTCTCTCTCTGCCTCTCTCTGTCTCTGTTTCTTTGTCCTCTGTCTGTCTCTCTCCTGTGTGTGTGTGTGTGTGTGTGGTGTGTGTGGTGTGTGTGTGTATGTCTGACTCTGACTTTTGTGTAGCCCAGGCTGACCTCCAACTTGTGATTCTCCTACCTCAGTCTCTTAAGTGTGTGTCACCATAACCACCATAGTCCTTTCCCTTTTATATAAGAGTGGTTAGATATTCCTTGTTCAACAAAAACACAATTTAAAAAAAAATAAAGAAAGAAAATCCAATTCCAGATCGCTAAAAGCCTGACTGATGACTGACTGACTGACAGCTATATAGATGGGAAGCCAGCTTCCTGGAAGAGGCCTTACTTAAAATTTATCAGAATGTGGCTTAAGCATCTTGGCAAGAATGCCAGTGTCTTCCTAGAAGGAACTTGTGAATTATCCCATGTAGACAAAAAGTTACACCCCAAACCAGATCTGGTCCAGGCTGTATCACTGAAGAGATTTTGTTTCTCCTGTGGACATGCAGAGGCTGGTGGTCGTCTTGCTCGAGCGCACCTTGTTTCTGCTTTAGTTCTTAAGAAAGAAGAAAGGTGGGAGAATGTGTAGAGAACTCTTACTTTCAATGTTTCATCAGCTCGCTGCAAAGGAGACTAAATAAAAAAATCAGTTCCAGCCACACAGCCACGGGCCTTGCAAACATCTGGGACAGAGGCTGAAAGGAGGAAGGTAGTCTAGGTACAAGCAGCAGTAAGGGGAACCTAACTCAGAATAGAGACTCAGAACCCTCCGAGCTGCTCCTGCCCTGTACATGGGGCTATATGGGGTAATAGTCCATATTGAACCTGAAGGACAGGGCTCCGATATGCAGGGTCTTTTTATACCAGGCTAACCTCAAACTCACGGAGTTCTGCCTGCCTCTATTTCCTAAGTGCTGGGATTACAGGTAGATATGACATACTCAGCTTATATATAGATTTTGTGGTGTATTTGAGTCTAATGATCAGAGATTTTTCAGTTTAATCTGGAAGCTTTGTAAATACTTTAATAAAGGTAAGATGGGGGTGTGTCAATAATTAACTCTAGAAAATAAAAATAAAATAAAAAAGTTGAACAAGAAAGGAAATGTAATCATAGCATGGTATGTGGGTGGCTAAGGTGTCACTATTATCTACAAAGGTATAATAATATAAATACCAGAAACCCATTGAACCACAAAGGATATCTAGCCATATCAGAAGGATGAGGATAGGATTTGTGTATGTGGGAGTGGGGGTAATGGTAGAGGAGAAATAAAATTTCATTCTCTACAGTGGGAAGTAAGATCAAAAGCAGAGAGATGGAGAAAAAGCTGTGTCAGCATTGGAGTTCTAATCTGGACACTCAGAGAATGGTCCATAAACAAGCAGCATCAGCGGCACATGGGAGTATATTGGAAATGCAGAATCTTGGAAGCTGCCCCAGACCTGCTGAATCAGACCCTGCATTGTAGGGAGAAGAAGGAGGTGAGTATGTTTCTGTCACACCCACGGCATCATGCATGCTAGCCAGTGCTCCTCCACTCAGTTATACACCCCAGCCCCAGCCCCTACAGTTACCAAGATCCTCCACAGTGATGTGCATCACTTGGAGGCCTGGAGATCTAACTCGGAACCTGACTTAGAAAGAGAACGGCAAACAGAAGGGGCAGAAGTGAGGGTTGAGTTCACTGCCTTCAGGAACAGAAGAATTCAAGCACAGGGTGGTAGAGAAGGGGACTGTTATTTTTTTTGATGAGTCCTGAGGTTTTGTTTTAAACTTTCTGGACAATTTATATTGTTGAAAAGAGAAAATCGGACTGGAGAGGTGGCTTGGAGGTTAAGAGCACTGGTTGCTCTACCAGAGGTCCTGAGTTCAATTCCCAGCAACCACATGGCGGCTCACAACCATCTGTGATTCAGTCTGGTGCCCTCTTCTGGCATGTAGGCAGAACACTGTATATATAATAAATAAATAAATCTTAAAAAAGTGAGAGAGAGAAAAAAATCATGTACAAGATTTTAAATTTCCACAATGCAAAATGGATATCAATATCTTGCTCCAGGTACAGACTCCAAGCTCCTCCAGAGTCTCCTAGAACATTTCTGGGCACAACCAGCCTTGGAGTGTGTGGTCATCTGTTTATTTCTTTTGAAAACACTTCCAAAGCACTCCAGGGCATCTTGCTTTTTCACTCACTAATATCCTTGAGGTCATTCCATATAAGCACATAAAGATCTGTGTTAATTCACTTATTGTCTATTAGAGGAGGCTTAAATCATAACTTGTTTAACTATTTCCCTACAGCTTCCCCGGAGCATTCAATGCCACATAGAACAGCAATCAGCAATGTGTGGCCACAGTACAGTCTACCGTCAAGCACACAGAATATCTGGGCTTGGGGCTGCTGCTAAAGCCAAGTGTTTTCTCTGCAAACTTCAGTTTTTGTAGCTGTGAGATGGCGATAAAAAGATATTCTTAGTAGCTACTATGCGCACTCACATTCCAGACATGGAAGATTTGGCTCTAAACAGAGCAGATCAGAATCCCTGCCCTTGTGGAGCTTAGAGTCTAGTGTCAGAAGACAGGTCATGGGATAACTTAATAAAGTAGGTGATGCTGAGAGCTCAGTGAGGTGGAGCAAAAAGGGAGGACCAGATGGGAGGTGTGAAGTCTCAGATGAGGTGGCTGCATTGCTAAGGTGGTATTGAGTGGCATGGATCTGCTCACTGGCTTGTCCCCATGGCTTGCTCAGCTTGCTTTCTTACACAAGCCAAGTGTCACCTGCTCAGGGGCTGTACCATCCCCAGTGGCCTGGGTCCTCACATCAACCAAGACAATACCCTACAGACTTGCCTACAGGTCAGTGTGATGGAGGCATTTTTTTTTTTTTTCCGGTTAAGGTTCTCTTCCCAGATAACTCTAGTTTCTGATGGATTGATAAAAAAGCAACCAGGACAACCAGATTCTGCTCCTGGTTTGGATTGTTTTCCTGGTAAGGTGGCATTGAGGAGGAGGAAGCAGGAGAGGATCTGCTGATTCCCTTTGGATGGGCACCTTTGGGTGAATTCTGGGAGAAGGTTGGTGGGCAGGCGAACTGTGTACAGAGCACACCAGTGAAAAAGTAGCTGTCCCAGACCTTGTTGAGTTCTCCTTCCAACCCAGTCTGAGAAGTGTTAGAATTTTTCTGTAGGATCTGAAGGTTCTGGAGACAGACGCGATTGGGAGAGGGAAAAGGGTCAGTGTGAGCAGCAGTGGAGATTAAGCACACTGTTGAACTTTTACATCTATTTCTTTGGACTGCACCGTTTGTGGGGGTTGAGAAAATGGTGGGAAGGCTAGCATTCTCCTTCTCCAGCCATCTCAAAGCAACACCCCAGGGGCTAGGAACTGAAGTACTTTTCTCGTCAAACGCTCACCCTCCTCTGGTGCCCCCTGTGGGAGGATTCTGCAAGCAGCAGCCTCTGTTTCACACAGCTCAGCCGGATGCAGTAGGTTTGAGCCAAAGGGTTCAAATTAGTACGAAAGTGGGCAGCTCCAAGTCTTCATAAAGATATAAATTTAGATTCTCAGTGACCAGATGCCTCACTGTTCAACGCGTAGGAAACAACAGATGGATCAAAAATTCCAAAGTTAAAAATAAAACCATAAAATAATTAGAATAAAATATGAATGAATTTTTTAAAAGATTAATGGGCCAGGCATGGTGGCACACCTCTGTAATTCCAGCACTCTTGAGGCAGAGGCAAGGGGGCCATGAGTTCAAGGCCTGCCTGGTTGACATGTTGAGATCCTGTCTTGATAAAACAAAAGAAAACAAATATGTCAAAATATTCACAAGGGAGGTTTTCTAGGTCAGTGCCAAGCAGGTGAATCATAGATATGACTATCAAAAATTAAAAAAAAAGAAAAAAGAAGAGGCCAGGCTCTGGTTTCAGCATCCAGTGTTGGGGGTGGGGAAGTCTACACAGTAATAGGTACTAGGAACGAAATCCAAGCAAGTGGTAAACTATTTTTAAAGCATGCAACACAAAGAGCCACGTCTGCAATACAAAATTAGTTCTGACAAGGACAATGACTACAAGCCACAGACCATGAACTGGAAGTTTCGAAAGAAACAGAAACAGCCGGAAAGCATGTGGGAATGATACAGGCAGCTGTTCTCAGTACTCAAGTGTCTTCACACTTCCTGTGCCTTCGGCTAGAGGCATCTTCCCCCAGGCAACAAAGTAGCTGCTCTTCACTTCCTTCAGCTCAGCAGCCCTGGAGGAACTAAGTGCTATCTTTGGGAGGTGGTAGAGCCTTTGATAGGCTTGGCCTTGCAGGAAGTCCTCAGGGGCATGTAAGGAGAGGGGCTTGCTTTTTTTGTTTGTTTGTTTGTTTTTGTTTTTTTGTTTTTTTTTGTTTCAAGACAGGGTTTCTCTGTTTAGTTTTGGTGCCTGTCCTGGATCTCGCTCTGTAGACCAGGCTAGCCCTGAACTCACAGAGATCCACCTGGCTCTGCCTTCCCAGTGCTGGGATTAAAGGTGTGTGCCACCACCGCCTGGCAGGGGCTTGCTTTTGAAGGGGTCTAGGACCACGGGTCCTTCCTCTTTTGCTCCCTGGCTGTGAAGAGCAGGATTTTTTGTTCCTGTTGTTTGGTTGGTTTTGTTTTTTATGTGCTTTGCATTAGGATCCTGTATATGTGCAGCTTGGGGTCTTGCGTTTTACGTCATCAGGGGGTGCTGGCTGCTACATGGTCTATGTGGTCACGCAATCTGTGCCTTAAAAAAAGCAGGACTTGGACCCCACCCTCCCTGCTCCCTGCTCTCCCCTCTGCTCCCGCCATCTCTCCCTCCCCCAGGCCTGGCTCTCCCCCCTCCTATCCCCTCCTTCCTCCTGATAAAGCTCTCTGTAACTCTGGTAGTCACGGCCGTGGCTCCTGGCTTTTCCACCAGTAACCAGCGCAGCCACCAGCGCCGTTTACCTATCACTTTGTTTTACTCTACTGGGGGTTGGAGCTATGGCCTTGCACATGTTAAGCAAGCATTCTATCAGTGTGCTACATGAGAAGCAGCTTTGGACCCAAGTGATAATATACAGCTTGCCACAGTCTAGAGCAACAGGGCTAACCGAAGGTAGATCAGACCCTCCAAATCACTGAGCCAAAAGAAACTTTGGGGGAAAAAAATGAGGATGCGGTGCCTCCTAGGTATGGTTCAGGAGAAGATTTGTTGTAGATATGAGGAATAAAACAGCCAGAGGCATCTGAAAGGGTCTAGAGTGAACACGGCCAGTAGAATGAACCAGACCGTGAAAGTGGGGAGTAAGAGGAGAAGAAAAGAGAGAGGGAGTGCAGAGAGAGCCCCTGGGAACCAAGAGACCAAGAGGGCCTGTAGCCAAAATAGCTGGGTTATGTAGGAGTCAGAGAAGCTGGGGGAAGGGAATTAAGCTCAGGGGTTGGAGAGGTTGAGGGTTTGGGGTGGGGAATGCCGGGCAAGATGACCCTGTAGCAGGTTCTTGTGAGTAGGGAGAGAGACTGGTGGCCAGAGTCTGCTTTGGTATGTTAAATAGGCACCTTAGTTAGCCTTTTGTCCTGGGTTTCTCTCTCTCTCTCCCTCTCTCTAAATTTTTCGAAACAGGGTTTCTCTGTATAGCCTTGGCTGTCCTGGAACTCATTCTGTAGACCAAGCTGGCCTTGAACTCAGAGATCTGCCTGTCTCTGCCTCCCAAGTACTGGGGTCAAAGATGTGCGCCACCACCGCTTAGTGACAACCTTCTCTCTTTCAGTCAGGTATTTCATTACAGTGAGGCAAAGCTAACATGGAAGATCTGTACCAAGAATGATCACTGCATTTACTTTCTATTTAATGACATGAAAATGCCACAGGAATACTACACGGTTCTTTTTAGAAGTTTGCTTGTGGAGAACAGAAGAAAACTAAGATAATTTTTGAAGGGATCGGGATAGATACTCTATTATCAAAATGTCTAAATATTGACAAATGGTCTAACTTTGAGCATTTTTTTTGGGGGGGCAGTAAGTAAAAATAGCCTCTTATTTAGGCATTTCTCTGATTATGAATGGCCTTGGCATCTTTTCATAGGGAAGTTTTTCTTTAGAGACTAGCTTTTTTTTTATTGGATCATTGATCTTTTTTATTATCACTTCAAGGACTCTGTAGAGTAGGCAGAATGCCCCTTCATTGGGAATATGAGCTGCAAATAGTTGGCCATTTTTCTTTGACTCCTGCTGTCGCCCGTCAGCTGGCTATAGGTCCTTGGGCTCTACGTAGGTATACGTTGTGAGAGGGTGAGGAGATGCTCTTCCAGGACTGGTCTCAGCAGCCTTCCTCTCTCTTAGGTTTGGCAGCAGTGAGTGGTGGCAGGAAGCAGACAGAAGCGGAGATGGCTCTCCTGCTTTGCTGTCTCCCCTCTTACGTTTCTTTTGAGACGGGAGCTCACGTATCCCAGGCTGGTCTCGAACTCTCTGTGCAGCCAAGGATAAACCTAAACTTTTCTGGTTCTCCTGCCCCTATCTTCCAAGTGCTGGGCATACAGGTTTGAGTCACCAAGCCAGGTTTAATGCAGTACTGGGGACTGAATGCAGGGCTTCATGCGCCAGGCAGACACTCTACTAAGTGAGCTACAAACAAAGCCCTCTGTGCCAATTTTTGTGCGAAAGAGACTTAAGAAACTGAGCTTGAAGGAAAACTAGACATGTCTACTAGAGTCTTGTGAGCACTACATTGTCACTGCGGTCTGAGTGTTTGTGTCCATCCAAAACTCATCTGTTGAGTCAAGTTCGCACAATAACATTAAAAGGAGAGTGTTGTTTTAACTTCAGGTGGCTATGCCTTAATCTACTGCTATTTCAACCAGCAACTGTGACTCTGAAGTTACCAACCTGCTTCTCTGGCAGCAGCCTGGCCACTCAGGCCACAGCCTGGCAGGAATTCTCCTCTGCAGGCACCAGCCCTGTCGCTGATGCTAAAGGTAGCTTTAACTAAATCTCTATTTTCCTACTTATAAATAAGACTCAAGATTAAAAAGGTTGGGGTGAGCCGGGCGTGGTGGCACACGCCTTTAATCCCAGCACTCGGGAGGCAGAGGCAGGTGGATCTCTGTGAGTTCGAGGCCAGCCTGGTCTCCAAAGCGAGTTCCAGGAAAGGCGCAAAGCTACACAGAGAAACCCTGTCTCGAAAAAACAAAAAAAAAAACAAACAAAACAAAACAAAATAAAAAAAAAAAGGTTGGGGTGAAAACCTGTTAGCTCAGAGAAGTTGAGTAGCCTTGCTAGCTTCTCCCAATGAGAGTGTCCTTCTGCTCTACCAAAACAACAACAACAAAAACAAACAAACAAACAACAACAACAAAATGCCACTTAAAATCCCTCCTACTGCTTCTGGTGCATCTCTCTGTCTCTTCCAGATGCTCTCTGGTGCTCTATGATCACTTTCTGTCAGCTAGTTGCTAACTCAGCCTCTTGACCCAAGGTTAATTTTATTTAATTAACACAAATGCAAACTTGAGGTTCACGGTGTGATTGAATATCCACCAACAGGGGAGGGGACTCAATTAGTAGAATGCTTGTGCTGGACTCATCCTCCACTGCGTATTAAGCTCAAGGCCAGCCTGAGGTATACAAGCACCAGTCAAAAGCAAGCAAGCCGTGGGGTCTTTGGGCAGCTATTAAGTCATGAAGACAGAGATCTCAGAAATGGGATTGGCATCTGTACTTGCTTGAATATGAAATGGCAACCATTGCTGGTGGTGTTATTTGGGAAGGTTCTAGAAACTCTAGGAGTGGGGCCTAGTTGGAGGAAGTTGGTCATTCGAGTTGTACCTTTGGAGATTATCTTTGGTCCCTTCCTTTATACTGGTTCCCCATAAGGTATGTAGCCTCAGGGTTGGGGATTTAGCTCAGTGGTAGAGCGCTTGGGTAGGCCCTGGGTTCAGTCCTCAGCTGAGGGTGGTATGGGAGTTTGGGGGGGGGGTGAGGGGGTGGTATGTAACCTCTGGAACCCAAATGGACAATGTTTTTTGCTTGTAGCGCTACTATATGATACTTTGTATCTCGAATGGTCTGAGACTTAGTCTATGATGGGGAGGTTTCCTTGCCCTCTCCCCTCACCTGGGGCCTCTTTTTAATCCCATCTCTCAATAGAGATGCCAGGCTGAGGGCTTTTTTCTCTGAGAAATTCTTTCACTAGTATTGTCCTTCAACACCGTCTCTCAACAAAGTTATCAAGGCCTGGAAAGGGAGAGTGATGGTACAGATCTGGCCAGAGTTGGAATGTGAATGTCTCATAGACCCAGAACTTCACATCAAATTCTGGCCAGTTTAAAAGTGATGGTGCCTCCAGAATAAGTCCCAGGTCTCCTTCCAAAATAGGTTTTGGGAAAAAACAAACAAACAAAACAAAACAAAAACTCCTTTCCTTTAGACCTAATCCTAAAAGGCTATCAGTCTTGAACATCAAGTGTCCGTCACTAGGGGACGAAACCTGCTCAAGAGCAAAGCAAGGGCTAAGAGCTAGAACAAGTCCCCAGAGCATGGTCGGAGCCCTGGACCCAGCCCTGTCTAAAGGCCACTGACAACTAGACTTTCAATCTGTGTAAGTCAGAGCACAACTTCCTATGGTTAAGGACAACTTGAATGTTTTATCCCATAAACTTTCAAATAATCCCTGAGGGTTTTAGCTCATGACAAACACCAGGATGCAGGCAGCTGGGCTGGAATGTAAAGCCTTAACTACCGCCGTCAGGTCCATTGCAATGCACTGACTGGCAAGGGCCTGAATCTGAAGTGTCCCTGGGATGATTTACATGCACAGAGTGCATCACAATGTGCTCTGCTTTGTCTCTGAGGATTTCACCGACTGTGGAGCTCAGCCTAAAGTGCATCTCTCTGCCCACGCTGTTGGAGCCGTGCATTTGGCACCGAAGCAAGCACCATCTCCTCTCTTGCTGTCCTGAGCTGGTCTTTCGGTCTTGGCAAATGGGCTGCTCTTGGGCTTTTCTGATGTGAACTCCTCCAGACCAGGGCTGGTTCTTATCGATTGAATTCTCCCACAAGGCTCTTAGCACAGGCCTCAGCATATGGATTGAACTTGTGGGTGGCAGCAAGGGGCAGTGGGAAGAGCTCTGGCTTTGAGTCCTGGCTGCGCTGTTTTCTAGCTAGATGGCCTTTGCCCACTTACTTAACCTGTTCTGAGCCTTAAGAGATTTTTTTTATGGAGACTGGCATGATCTAGCTCTTTCGTTGCTTCAGTGAAAGACTGTAGACTAGGCCTTTTGTTTTTATCTATTTATTTATTTTGCTGTGCTGGGGATCAAACCCAGGGTTTTTGGGGTAGACAAGAACTCTACC